TTCGTGAGCCTCTTATGGTTTCAGGATAGTTCAAATCCTATGATGCTCCGATTCAATGCTCACCGATGATCTGAGCCATGGGGCAAGTTTGTTTTCCTCAGAATCTTTTTGAACATTTCGAGTGCAAAAGTTTGAACATTTAGAGTGCATATGAACATATATTTACGACAGGTCGCCTCCGAGGGGATAAATCACCATGTCGAACATTGCATTTTTGTTCCTGCCTCTCGCGTTCTCTTCTCTTCCCGCTGTCCTACCTTTCGTGTCTCCCTCCTCTCAAGTTGATGAGAGTGCGAGCCACAGAGATTGAGAAAAAAAGCAAGGCATGACATCCTTTGGGCTGTCGCCCTCAGAACCCATAGGTCTTCTCCGCGTTTCGAGTGTTCGACGGGTTGGGCTCCTGGTGAAGGAGGACGAGGATGGGTGGACCGCCCCTTCTGCTGGCGGCCAACGCCTACGAAGAAGTCACAATTACATTGTTTGCTGTCATGGTTGCCACGTTTCAGATGATGTATCCCAGAAAGGGGTTGAGTATCCCAGAACTGTTCTGAGTCCCAGTGAGTGGAGTAGTTGGGCATACCCTCAAAGTTTCACACCTCAACATGGCACTGCTGAATAATGTTTGCGAATGTCGTTGAACTAGACACCACTGCCCTTTGAAGCCCTAGGAGCCAGCGCAAACAGGACGTCGCGCTTTTCCGTCGCGCTGGCCGCGCCGCGCACATGCTTGAAGGCACCACCCCCTTGGGAGAGAGTTCTTGGATAGAGTTCTCAAACAAACGAATGTCCGCACGCAGAGCCCTGGAGTTCGACTAAGAGCTTTCATAGCATACGGTCCAAGATCACAGCTGCCACTATACCGTCACCTCTTAGGATGCAGGTGGAGGACGCATCATGGCAAGGTATTGGGGTAAATACACGGTCTATGCAGCCGCTTAGCTTCTAAAAGCCTTCCTGGGGCATGGCGGCATGGCTGTGGGGTGCATGAAGCTGGCGCAAGTTTGGTGCCTTCATGTGCCTTCCAAGAGTCCGGATACTCCGACGTGCTGCTTCGTCAATGCAACCTTTTTTGGGCTGCGTGGTGCCAAAATCACAGGCGTCCCAGCCTCGCCAGCAGGGGCCTTTTTCTAGACACCCTAGGCCCACGTTTCATTCAAAGACCTGAATCCCAAGCCTGCACTGTGGTTTTTTCTGTTGTTCCACCAAGGTTTCCGACAGCGAAGCCAGGTCAGCTGGACTCTTCGAATGGTCGAACGGAAACCGGGGTGCCGTGAGGTGATCTACCGCTGCGTGATCAAGAGACTTTGGCAGAGGAGCTTGCACTCACAGGCACGATGGGGCCGTTTTCGAAGTTCCTAAGGTTGCTGGTGGTCCGCTTGGAAGCGCCCATGTTCGTTGATATTCCCAGACACTGCATGTGTGCCATATATGCCTACAGTGGGGTGGTTTCATGTAGGCATTTATGACAGTCCCATGGAGTGTCTCGTATTGGTTGCACATGGTTGCCATTGGGGAGGGAGTGGAGGGAAATACTCGTTCTTACGAAACTGAAGTGGCTAACAACCAAGGACAAAACATTGGACAACGGAGCCCACATGCTGGACAGCAGTTTTGATTAAACCCGCATGGGTTGGGCGGTGGGCATGTTCGACAAATCGTTTTTGTCAGGGGTGGCCGTGGGGGATGTACACCAAGAGTCACAAAGGGATGCCTAGTGGAGGTTAAGGGGTGCCCATAAACACTACCCCTTTGTGACCCCTGGCAGTTGCGTTTTACTTGGCATTTTTCAACACATCTGGGTTTGGCGGTGCTAGGTGCATGTTAAAGATAAATTTGGTGTGGTCAGGTCCAAATTAACAGCAATGTGAATGTGCTAAATCAGTTTTGTTTTTGTTTGCGGTTGCGGTCGTCGGTGGACAGTCGTTGATCGAGTGGGTATGTTCATTTTAGATCATTTTAGCATGTTGTTATCCACTCTAAGCCGAATGTGTGTTGACAATGTCATTTCCTGATTTCGGTTGTTTTCACCAAGTCACTTCAGGATACGAGTGGACTTGCTACAAGGGAATGTTCAATCTGAAGTTGGTTTGGCGGGATGGGGTTATTCGACGCGGTTGTTCGATGTACAGCCATTTGCCCGAGGCCCAATTAGTTGCATTGTGATTGTGGTGCCATGCCAGAACATTTCCCTAGCCTTCTAACACCCTTCAAAGCATGGTTGAGCCGGTGTGGTCGTCCAAAATCCTTAGTCAAACAGTGAGAACTATATGGAAGTGGTTCTAGAGTAATGGATCGCGCAATGTCCACACGATGGTTTATATGGAGCCTCATCTGAAGGACATCTTGAGGTTTGCGCCATTGAACTTCTGAAACCACCGCAAGTCAAAGGTGGTGGGAAGTCCAGCACATGTTTCCGACCCTTTTGCTCAGAACGAGCCGTGCATGAGCCGTGCATGACAGTTGTGGGTGCTTCTCCGAAAGCAAAATGGTCCAAGTGGATTCGTTTGGTTATATAATAACTATTTTTGGTGTACAGGTTGGAAGTCCCTTCTGACACGTCAAATCCGGTATGCCTGGTGCACACCTGCTGCTAGGTGTGAACAGCAATTAAAGTACATCATGTAATGACATCAGATCTTCTCATCTATGTGATATAGTATAAAAACACAAAACAAACTCACCTGCCCCTACTTCATCGCACCATGACACAAGAACACCTTGCTGCTGCCGCGGCCGGCGGACTTGCTGCCTTGCTCCTTTGGAAGCGTTGCTGCTGGAAGCGGGAGTCGGAGCGTGTGAATGTGGCGTGGCGGACCAATCAGCGTGCGGTAGGACGTGCAGACCAACACGTGCTCTTGGGGCTTCCTGCAGGTATCCTACCCAGTCAGTAGATTCTGATAACCTTCAACCTTTTTTCCCACTAAATACCAACAGAGGTTGAAGGACCCGAACTAGCCTATTCCAGTTCGGTACCCCAGGTTACGGTCCTATATAAGGTCACTCAACCTTTTTTGGTATGTGATGTTCGGTTTCTTTTCCTTTTCACTTTGAGATTTGTCCGGTCTGGCCGTACGACCAGGGTGTTTGCGGGAAGGGTGGCGAACGCCTAGGCCTCGCCTAGCAATGGGAGATGCGAACAGCTGGAGAAAGGTTAGCCCCTTTTTTCCAGGGAAACTGAGGGAGTCAGATATGTTTGCTGATATGTGCTTGTCCTCCTTGCAAGGCCTTGTTTTCTGCGCTGTTTCGACCGACGAAACTTCAAAAAATTCTTCCAGCTTCTTGGAAGAATAAGGCTAAGTGATTTCCTGCCTCAGTTTCGCTAGATCGACTGGCTGCGCTGTAGACGCTTGATGCACTCGCTTCGTCCACGGAGTGTCCGGCTTCTGTGGGTGGACGCCGGTCGAGTCGTGGATCACGTGGATCTCCTGGGTCGCGTGGAGTTGGGGACGGACGGTCCCGAAGTGGTGAACGGGACGCTTCGGTCCCCACCTGTTGGGACGCTTGCTTTCGGACAGCGGAGGGACGTCAGGTAGGGTGGTGACCTGGTGGGTTCCAATCAATCAAGCCACTCGGTAATACCCACTCTCAGAATGCTTGGACACCGAGGCAACGGTAGGGTGGTGCGGACCTTGAACACATCTCAAAACCCATTGCATTTGGGCTGTGGGTCAAGACCGATAGGCAACGCTATAGATTTTTTTTGCATGTTTGGTTGTATCCGTTTACGTGAGCCATGAACCATGGTATTGGGAAGAGCGAATTGATCCGTGTTGCTATTGGGGTCAATTGTTTTGTTGCAGGAACTTTGTCCAATTTGTTCTTGCTGATCGGGTGATTTGTTTGGTTTTTTTCTCCGAACCGGGTGAATCCCCTTCTGCTTTTGTTTGCCGGTTTTATGTAGCTAGCAAATACAAGTATGGGTGAATCCTCTTGTGGAGAAGAGTTTTATGCGGCTTGCACGAGCCCGAATCCTCTTGTGTGTTGTCAACAACCCTTTTAGCAGCTCACATGGTTGTTTCTTTCATATTTAAAACATATTTAAAGCCTACCTGGACCCTCCAAGGGGTGTCCAATGGACTACCCCACACTACCTATAGGCTTCCAGACAGGGCACCCCTTGGAGGGTCCTGGTATCCACTATTCGCACTATTACCGTATGCCATGCCATACATGGAGCAGTTGGGTAAGGATGAAATCCAACCATTTGGCAGATCAGATCGTTCTACCCCCTTATCGCAGGGGCAGCGTTTGCAGGTCTCCGACATGGAGGGTTGGGAAAGGCCCTAACAGGTTTCAATGAGTGACCTGTTGGAGGTGCTGGTATAGATGTGTTTTTACATGCAGTATACCTCAGTACACTGAGTACACTCAGCAATAGGTGTATGGTACCTGACGCATCAACCCCTCTAATAGCTCCCAAGGGCCTCAAGGGCCTATTGTTCAATCATGTTCAATCCCCATTTTTCTGGCCTCAGGTGGTTCATGTGCCCGCCAGTGGGGACGTGAAGGAGAAGAAGACCGTGATCGTGATGATCCCTGGAATGTGGCATGGAGCCTGGTATTTCAAGGCCAGCGAAGGTCGAAGCTTTGAGTTACGTTCCCTGGAACTCACATGGAGACGACGGATGGCACCACCGGATGGCACCACCGGACCTGTGTATATCGTGGATTTCGTGGTCTTCCGAACTCGGGGCCATGACATCCACTTCCACCATGGGGCCGTTCCGGCCCTAAGGGGCCTCGAAGACCATCCGTTGCTCGGATGTCCTGCCAGACGCCCCCGGCAACGACCATTCTCTGGTTTCGCACGTACTCAGCTCCGGCAACGACCATCCGAAGTACGGGGGTACCTGGACCCTCAGGAGGTAGGGAGTGTATGGCACCGCGTTCCGACAGATGTTCTGTGCACCGTTCACTCCATCGGGTTCCAAGCACTATTGAGTAGACCTGGGGCACCCAAATGGGACTGGCATTTTTACATCCGTCGAGTGCCCCATGGAATGGTTTTGCGGATGGTTTCCTTGGGGTGGTTGATGTGTTTCTTGGCCGGTTCTTTGTGCAAATCATTCCAGTCCCAGAGAGGCCGTGGGACTGGGGATAGCTTCTGGCTACCATTCGGAGCCCGCGCGACACGTTGGGATCTTGGGATCGCATCTCATGTGGGGAAGACCGAATGAATGGACGGAATGGATGGGGGGGAGAACGGACCGGACGGGGGGTGGTCCCCACTAGAGAGAGAAGAGGTGAAAGAGGGCGAACCGTGTGATGCTTTCCCCTTTTTTGCAGGAAATCTGAGCGAGTTAGAGTTAGAGTAGCTGCTAAGCGGAATCCCCAATGCCTATAGCTCATCCACTTGCTAGTTGATGTTCTGTCCGGACTCAACAGACCCCCCGTACCCTCCCTGCAAGAAACACTGATATGGAGTCGGAGTCTTTTCAGGGGCCATGCCATGCCAGCCATGCACTCCCATGATTGTTGTGGGGAGTGTAACTCTTTTGGTTCGACCCCTCCTTGAGAATTTGCCAGACGCTGCAAACGCTGCTCTCCAAGTGTCCTGGGCAGAGATGTTTGTCCGGAATGCGGGCTCCGATTCTGAGGCTTTCATGTACGCATCCGGCTTCCAATAACCATTGCCTTGTTATCAATTTGGTCAGACAACCAGGATTTTAACACTACAAACCAGGTCAACCATTCTTTTCCCTATGGATCCCTTCTGAGAAGGTCATTGGAGACTATTTATGTAGACTTGGAGGGTCCAATTACCTTCTGAGAAGGTATGTGGATCCATAGGGTTTAATGGTCTTTGAAGGCTGGGGGATGATTTCAGGAAAGCCAGCACTCACGAGTTGGGGAGTTGGGAAGCAAGTCGCCCGTCTAGAAGTCTAGAAAGAACTCGTTGAGACAGAATGTACCAACGACAGGTATAGACCAGGTAATTTGATTCCTATACCTCTTGGATTTACTTCAGGACAAATCACATCGAACAAGCAGAGAAAGGCGATCACCCGAATCTACCGGTCTTTTCCCGGCGAAAGCAGTTCTTCTCTGCGTTGGGGGAAAGTCGTCGGACCCAGGTACCTACAGGTCAGGAACAGACCTTTCTTGACTGGAGTTGCTCATACAAAAACATACCCGATAGGGATCCGTTTTCGTACCGAACCTCAGGTTCGGTACGACTGGACCCGACCCAGGCACCTACATAACAGTGCCAAACACATCACCGTACCTGAGGTTCGGTACGAAAACGGATCCCAAACGGGATACAAAAACACGAAGCAGACCATGGTTTTGGTTGGTCTGGACCCAGGCGAACTCCGTGGGACCCCCCC